TATATATATACACACCTTACAGATGCAGGTACACACAACGCCTACACACAACCCCCTCCACCAGAATCCGTGACCCCCTCTAGTCCCCAGCACCACACACACCCAGCCCCTCTCCTCTGGGGTCTCCCCAAAAGATACCCAGCTGGCTGCCACATACCAAAGACCATTCTCCACTCCGGGGAAGTATACCTCCAGCACAATTCCTTTGAGCCTTTGACAATTTTCTCTGAAATACCTCAAAATATTTAATGTATAGTTTATGTGATTTAAAAAAAATTCCTTAGCTAGTTTTTGGAATATGTGACTTGAAGCTTTATACCGTTAAATTATAATTTTGCAGACGATGGCATGTGATTTATTTGATGGTTTGGTGGGAGACAATGAATGTCCTATGAAGGGAGATGGGTGGTCGGAGGGAAAAGATAGTGGGACAGTGAGCAAGAGAGATTGAGCTAGCAGGCAGGAGCGATCTGCGCTTTTACAGATTTCTTATTTAAATGAAGTCCTTTAGGAACGAGAGAGAGAGGGAGAGTGAGCGATGGTATACCTTTCAGTTCTCCTGAGTGTCCTGTTTCTTGTTTGTTCTGAGCCGTGTCTTATAAGAGTATTTATTACTATCTATGTGTTCTGTGTTCAAATGTAATTTAACAGAGACCAAAAAAAAAAAAAAAAAAAAAGGAAGAAAAAAAAAAAAAAAAAAAAAAAAGATGAAATGGAATTTGATGCATGACTATTGTACCCCAAAGCTGATGTAATACGTGATGGGGTGGGAGGTGGGGTGGGGGCGGGCCGTTGAGTCTTGATCCCCGGATTCCTTGTCGAATCATCCTTGTACTTCATGCCCCACTTGGTGCTGTGTGGTGGTTCTTTGCGCTGCCTGCCAGAGTCTCTGTCCCCCTTTCCACGGAACTGTACTGGGGGGAAATGACCAAGGTGGGGAGGAAGGGAGGAGGCCGATGGGTGGAGGGTGGCAAGTTCAAGTATCCAATCCCCAGCTTCTGCTCCACCCCTGGGTGCCCACCTGCCTGCCAATCCTGGTTCTGGAGATCATGTGTCATCACTGTCTTGGGCTAGCCCCCCACCCAGGTGGGTTTCACTTTAGCATGAATTCCTAAGTGTCTTGTTCAGAGGAGAGAGAGACAATCAGACAGCAACCCGAGTCTTGTCGCCCAGGGTGGTGGAGGTCCGAGTGTGCCCCGTATAACCCCACTCCGAAGTGTCTGCTGAGGCTCTGGTGGGTCCCAGTCAGGAGGTGGCGGAGGTGGGGAACCTCTCTCCCAGCCCACTTTGGGCCCTAGAGAACAGAAGGGCAGCTGTGGGACGATGTCTCCAGGCTGTGAGCCACCACCCAGCTCCTAGAGACAGTCTGACATGGGGATTTTTTTTGTGCTTCCTTGGGGGCGACCCAAAGATTCACAGATAGGAATCTCAAGAAGGGAGGTCCCACTTTCCAGAACAAACCCCTAACCCCTCACACATGGATCCCTCACATCCAGTAGGGCAGGAGGCCCCAGATTTGAGGGCTGGGCCTCGAACAGAGAATTCAACCAACCTAAAACATTAGTGGGGGTGGGAGATAGCTCCGGAGTTCCTCTCACCCAGCCCCTATACTGACCTGAACTTGGGCCGTTTCACATTTCCTGCTCTTAGTGGTTGACCCCAAACCAGCCCATCAGATTCCTGGGGCCTCCCTCTTGTGGCCCTTTCAGAAACTTCCCTAAGTCCTGGTCTTTGGGGAGGGGTTATCTCAGCTGAGGGTAAGGGAGGCCCCAGAGGCTACAGGGTCTTGAGTGTTTAGTGGAGAATACAGGGGAGACCCTCAGTGATCCACCCCAATGCTGGAGGAGGGAACTGCGAAATTCTCCCCAGCCCCACCCTCAGGAGACAGGCTTAAAACTTCAAAGAAGAAGAAAATCATCATCATTGTTAACCATTGCTGTGTTGGCTTGGTTGTTTTGTTTTTCTTCAATAAATTATTTTCTAGTCACTCATCTGGGTGTGTGTATGAACCATCTGAAGGAGGGTGCAAGAGACGGGGGTGGGGAGGAATGGGGTACACCCGCTGGCAGGAGACACGGGGAGGAAAGGGACAGAGCCCACCCTTCTCTGAAGTCTTCTTGGGCCACTGGCCCTCTCTAAGTCCCCACCTTCTTTAAGGTACAGCTAAGAATCAAAGAGAAAAACACAGTGTCTTTGTGCCAACAACCCTGCCCGAGACAAAGATGTTCTCAGGACCTGCCAACTACACTGTGAGTGACTAAGGAGTATGGTGGTTTATCTGAAGGGAAGAAATCAGGACGGCCTGTGGAGGGGCTGCCATATGATAGGGGTCAGCAGGCACCCCTTGATAGGATCTGCCTAGCACTCCTTCCCTCCTTTGAGAGCAATGAAACTTCATCTGCACCATCAACCCCAGGGTGAAACCTTTCCCTGCACAAACTTTCCCTGCAATTCCTAGACCAGGTCACTAGAGGTCAGAATTCTGATTAAAGAAAAAATAAAAACTAGGAAAGACTAAGCCGCCTCATGTGACATCACAAAAACAGAGGTAGGCAAGGGGAGCCCAAGGAGTCCTGGAGTCAGATGGACCGTGGTGGTTTATTGGAAAAGAGAGAAGGGTACAGACCCCTCTTCCTAGGGAAGGAGCCCTCCCGCTCCCTAGCCTCGGGCAGCTACTGCTTCTCTGGAGGAGAGGGGGACTGCGCCTCCTGTCCAGGTTGGACGTGGTCCTCGATGGTGACTGGTAACCACTCCATGGAGGACGACTGCTTCTCCTGTGACCAGGGCTCAGCCTCCACAGGTTGCTCAGCTCGCAATGATTCTTCTGCAGGTGGTGGTGGGCGGTCTCCCAGTGACTGTGGCGTCTCACTGGGGACTGCCTCTGTCTTCTCTCCAAACAAGAGATCCCTTTGCCACATGAGCAACCAGGGCAGTCTCAAGAACCTCCAAAACGATGAACTGTTTTCCCGAGTTAGTGACTGGCTCTCTGGAGGCAGCGACTGACCCTCCGAGGGCTGTGGGTGACTCACAGACGTGGACGGCAGGCTTTCTTTAGGTGACAGGGATCCCTCCTTAGAAAGTGACCTCTTTCCACTTGATAAAGACCTATCTCGAGAAGATGGCTTCTTCTCAGGGGACGTCATGGGAATAGAGGATTTGGATTGGTTTTCCAAATGGGGGGCTTGTCCTTCTGAAGCTACGGAGGAGTTCCCCATGGGGTTGAAGACCACATCCTCAGAGGGAGTCTTCTCCACACGCTGGTGCTTCTTCTTCCCCAGCAGAGACAGCCTTCTGGGGTGCCAGGATGAGTCCTTCATGCTCGGGGGCATCTCATCTTCGGATGGGGGCTGCTCATCATTCATCAGCTCACTGTTGGTGTCCCGAGCCCTCCGCATGATGGTGCCCTGGGTGATGAGGTTGGCATAGCCCTCACGGTGGGAGAAGGCATAGCTGGAGCGCCGGACACGAGACCCCCGATGTATGTAAGAAATGGGCTCTTCCACGATCTCCTCACTCGGTACCTCCTCCACCTGCAGAGAAGGCGAGAGTGGCGTCATCAGGGTTCCCACACTTTGTTCACTGGTCTGCGGGTCACCCATCCCTCAGTGGAACTATCCAGAGCTCCTGACCTCCACTGACTGCCTAGCTGAACTAACTGCTGTCCTTGCCTGGGACTTAACTCCGAACCAGTGACTGGGTACCTGGGGCACCCTCGGGTGGCAAAGCCAAGAGAGGGGATCCTGGGGCAACCGGGGGTCCAGCTACATAGTAAAAGGTGCCCAGAGCCAAAGACGGACAGACCATAGTTGGCAGGTTCGTGGCCATGTCTTGGTCTAACATCCTAGTCATTCAAACCACCTTCCACATTGGGCTATGTGAGCCCTAAGGCCCCCCTTTTGCCTCAACCATTTCAAGGCTGGTTTTGTCATCTCTAACCCCAGGCCCCAGGTTCTAATTGCCCAGAGCTCCACAGTGTCAGCATTTCAGTCCAGGCTCTCGCTTGGGGCCCCAGGACCTCCTGCTTGTCCCCCTCTGAGGACACTAGGTCCTGTGCCAGGGTCCCACGACCTCATGTCTCTGGTTGATGCCACGGGGAGCCCAGCCCCAGGATTGCCTCACCTTGACACGCGACTTCTTGACAATTTGGTAGATGATGCGGAAGGCCAGGGCAAACATGGTGTTAAGACATACGTTCAGCAGGATCACCACCAGGGCAAAGGGGTGGGATAGCACATTGCGGTCGGTGTCTGGGGACAGGGGTAGGGGGCATGGCCCTGGCTGAGGAGGAGGCACCCCCAGAGCCGCTGGAGAATGGGGGGAACCTCCCTTCCCTGTCCCAGGATGTCACCAGCCCACAGGGTACCACTGTGCAAACTCAAAAGGGATACGGTTAGGGACTGAATTGTGTCTCTCCAAAACACGTGTTAAGGAGCTCTGGTAGCGTAGTGGGTACAAACCGGGCTGCGAACCTCAGGGTCAGCAGTTCGAAACTACCCGCTGTTCTGTGAGAGAAAGATGAGGCTTTCTGCTCCCGTAAGAATTTACAGCCTCAGAAACCCTGTACAGGGTCGCTATGAGTTGGAACCAACTCCACGGCACATAACAACAGCAACAACAAAATACGTGTTGGAAATTGTTGAATTTTCTGCTGTGTACACCTTCGGTCCTGGTGTGGCTGCAGGTTAATGCGCCAGACTGCAAAGCCATTTGAACTGCAAGGTCGGCGGTTCAAGCTCACCAGCTGCTCCTTTGAAACCCTATACAGGGTCGCTATGGGTCGGAACCAACTCGACGGCACTTCACAACAATACTTTCAGTAACAACGAAAATAATATCTACAGTTTTTTAATGTGCTGAAATCCTAATCCTTACAAAGACGGAAGGAGCGAGGGTCAAGTGCTTGGTTGCTAACCGGAAGGTCAGATCAGTGGCTGGACCTGATGGTTGGACCCACAGTAGGAAGACTTGGCAATTTACCCCTGTGAAGAGGAGAGATGGTGCTGTAGGGCCGGTGCCAACTAACAGCGACCTTGTATAGGTTTCCGAGATCACAAACCGTTCTGGGAACCCAGAGCCTCATCTTTCTCCCAAGGAGCGGCTGGTAGTTTCGAATTGCTGACCTTTTGGTTAGCAGCCCCACAAGTAACCACTACGCTACCTATGGGGAATCCACTCAAGGACGTATAACCATGGATGTTGTTATTGTTAAGCGCCGTTGAGTCGCTTCTGACTTATAGTGACCTGTGCATGTCCAAGGCTTTCAATCTTCTGGGGAGCAGAAAGCCTCATCCTTCTCACAAGGAGCAGCTGATGGGCTCAAACCACAGACCTTGATGTTCACCAACCAGTCCAGTACAATGTACTCATGGATGTAATCCTATTTGGAACTAAGAACTCACTTACACCACAAAGAAAACCTTATGTGTGCTGGGTGTGCCTTAAACCACTGGCTTCTGAGGTACAACGGGGCAGATGGGGCACAGACGCTCGTGAGCACAAACAGCGAGAGACAAATGCCACATGGAGGCTTCCAAGGGGCTGCGAGACCACTAGAGAAGGTGGGACAAGGGGTTCCCTCCTCAGTGGATGGAGAGAGCCTTCCCTGAGAGCCGGCGCCCTGAACTTGGACTTCAAGCCTCCTCAACAGTGACAAGACCCCTGGTGTGGCATTCCAGGGTCAGCACTGGACAGCCATTCAAAGCCACCTACTTGCTGCTCCCTGCAAACCCAGGAGTCGGAACTGACTTGACCGCACTTAACAACCACAACAAAGAGAAAGAAACAAGTTCAGGAGGCACAAACAGCTAAGCACTCGGCTGCTAACGGAAAAGTTGATCATCTGAACCCATCCAGAGGCTCCCCCGACCACTCCTATCTGTCAGTCTGTCGTACTGCGGTGGGGTGCATGTTGTTGTGATACGGAAGCTATGCCATTAGGGTCGTAAATACCAGTGGGGAACGGTCACTGACAACCTTATGAATCGCAGTAGACCATTGTCAGATAGAGTGCCGGAAGATGAGCCCCTCGGCTTGGAAGGTAATCAGAATACAAACTGGGGATGAGCTGCCTCCTCCAAGTAGACTTGACTGTAATGATGTGAATTCAGTAAAGATTTCAGGAGCTTTGTTTGCTGATGGGGCACAACTCAACGTGAGGAGAAACTACTGCAAACATCCATTTGAAATCGGAATAGGGGACGTACAAAGTACGCATCTAGAAAAATTGGAGGTTGTCAAAAATGAAATGGAACACATAAACATCAATATCCTAGGCATTAATGAACTGAAATGGATTGGTATTGGCCATTTTTAATAAGACAATCATATAGTTTACTATGACAGGAATGACAAATTCAAGAGGACTGGTGTTACCCCCTTGGTACACAGGGTCGACAAGGATGGGCACCTTAAACACTGGCTACCCAAAATGGAGGGGGGGGCAACAAAGGCAAGAAGTGACTACCTTACAAGCTTTCAATAGGGAGCCAAGTTCCAGAGGGTATGAGGAAAGGTAGACTCTCCACTGAGTGGTTTCCAACCTGTCTGGACAGAGCTGATGAAAGGAGATGGGGATAAGGCTCTTGTGGTTCAACCGGGAATAATTGCTACCAGGACTGACTGTGAGTGTTGGAAATGTAAAGGTAGACGTTTTGTAACAGGAAGAGGGAGTGGTTAATTTTGCAGTCCAGGGGCGAGGTCACTGGAACCATCAAGGAAGAAAAGCGAAGTGCGGGACCCTACCCAGAGAAGCAGTGATGTCAGAGATGGAGGCAGAGATGATAAAGTGGACAGATGGAGTGGCTGGGGACTCCAGATTCAGGGAGGGAGAGGGGCTGTGTGCTGACAGCTGGGGGGGCAGGCGTGCGGGGTGTACCCTTTGGTTGTTTGATGATGCATGCAGGGGATTGTAATCATTGCAATGAAATAAAATATGATAGGATGAATGTAAAGACAATGTTCTCCCCTGTAAACTATCACATAATTCACAGTAAAAACTTTAAAAAAAAAGGAGGAATGGTGTCGCATTCGTCATCAAAAAGAACATTTCAAGATCTATCTTGAAGTACAATACTGTCTGTGATAGGATAATATCCATATGCCTACAAGGAAGACCAGTTAGTACCACTATTATTCAAATTTACACACCAACCACATCACAATGTCAATGATGATGAAATTGAAGAATTCTACCAACTTCTTTAGTCTGAAATTGATCAAACATACAATCAATATGTTCTGTGTCATCAGCCAAAAGGCCAGGGGCAGACTGCAAAGCAGACCATCAATTGCTCATATGCAAGTTCAGGATGAAGTTGAAGAAAACTAAAATAAGTCCACAGAGTCAAAATATGACTTTGAATATGTCCCACCTCAATTCAGAGATCATCTCAAGAACAAATTTGATGCATTAGACACTAATGACCGAAGACCGAAGAGTTGCAAAATGACATCAAGAACATCATACAAAAAGAAAGCAAAGGGTCATTTAAAAGATGGCAAAGAAAGAAAAGACCAAAATGGATATCAAAAGAGACGCTGAAACTTGTTCTCTAGCCTAGAGGTGCTAAATCAAGTGGAAGAAATGAGGAAGTAATGTAGCTGAACAGAAAATTTCAAAGACAGAGTCAAGGGTTATAATGAAATGTGCAAAGACCTGGAGTTAGAAAACCTAAAGGGAAGAACGCATTCAGCATTTCTCATGCAGAGAGAATTGAAGAAAAATATCAAGCCTCAACTTGCAATATTGAAGGATTCCCTGGGCAAAATAAGGAGCTCTGGTAGCACAGTGGTAACGAATAAAATAAAAACTTCAAGGTCAACGGTTTGAACCTACCAGCCGCTCCGCGGGAGAAAGATAAGGCTTTCTGCTCCCATAAACATTTTCAGCCTCAGAAACCCTATACAGAGTCGCTATGAGTCGCAACAGACTCCACGGCACATAACCACCACCACCATGGGCAAAATACTGATGATTATGCAGAAAGCATCAAAGAATGATGGCATGTATACACAGAGTCACTGTACCAAAAAGAAATGGACAATGATTAACCATTTCAAAAGGTAGCAAGCATATGATCGAGAACCAACGGTACATTGAAGGCATTGGGAAAAACAAGGCTACAGAAATGGACAAAATTCAAACTGAAATCTTACAGCAAACTGATGCAGCATTGGAGGTGCTCCCTCATCTAGGCCAAGAGATTTGGAGGACACATACTAATTGGAAGAGATCCTTATCTGCACCCATTCAAGAGAGGTGACCCAACAGAGAATTATCAAGCAACTCATTGATATCACATGTGAGTACATTTTGCTGAAGATAATTCCAAAGCCGCCGCAACAGTACATTGAGAGAAAACTACCAGAAATTCAAGGTGGATTCAGCAGAGGACATCATCGCTGGTGCCAGATGGGTCTTGGCTGAATTCAAGAGAATACCAGAAAGAGGTTTGCCTGCGATTTATGGACTACACATGGGTTTTCGACTGTGTGAATTATGACAGTCGATGGAGAACATTGTGAAGGATGGGTATTCCAGAACACAGAATGGTGCTCATGGAAAAACTGTACCCAGATCAAAAGACTGTGGTTTGAAGAGACCAACAGGACACTGAATGGCTTAAAATCAGGAAAGGTGTGTGCCAGGGTTGTATTCTTTCACCGTATTTATTCAATCTTTATGCTGAGCAAATAATCAGAGAAACTAGATTATATGAAGAAAAACATGGCATCAGCATTGGAGGAAGACTCATAAATAACCTACAATATGCAGATGATACAACCTTACTTGCTGAAGGCAAAGAGG